TACAGGGTGTCCCGGACCACCCGTATCAGCCAAATATCTCGAAATCCAAGAACGGCAGACAAAAACGTTTCAGACCAAAGTTATAGGGTTTCAAATAACGCATTACATAGCAATATCTGTATGACCTTGAAGAGTGTTGTCAAGGTCACGTAAAAATCACCTTGAAATTTTTTAGTAGAAACCACCATTTTTATTGCATATTCTTGTAGCTTATCTCGAGAGCTTTCCAAAACACTATAGTGAAGTTACTTTCAATCTAGTACTTTCCGAATTATGAGGCTTGAAAGTTACGGTGTCGACGGTATGTGTCCACCGTATAAAAAGTGTGAGTATGTATCAAAAGACTTGGTCACGTTTCTTATTCTACTATGTTTTTGTGACATCTTAGCAAGTTTTGTTTCAAGACGGATATTGCGAACACCAGGCCTAATCACATCTAGCCACACATCCACATACACACTTAACGATATTCTCATTGACCAGCTATGTCGTATTCACACGCAGAAGCTTTGGATATGATGCTTATTTTAGGTGAATGTGGTGGTCAATTTAGAGCAGCTGCAAGGTTGTGGCGAGAACGATACCCAGATCGCGCTCCTCACTCATATAATGTTTTTTCTCGCTTAGCTAAACGAATTACCAATAAAGGTATTATTCAACCAGATTACAATAAAGGTAGACGAATTCGACGCCCAGTTAGGGACGAAAGGGCGCCGGAGATTCTTGCATCCGTTCAATTGCATCCCCACGATTCATTAAGGCGTACAGAAAGAGATTCTGGTATTAGTCGTAACACTATCTGGCGGATCTTTCATGAAAACAAACTGCATCCGTACAGAATGACTCTTCACCAAACATTGACGATTGCTGATTTTAGATACAGACTTGAATTTTGCAAAGGGATACGACAACAACCGCGGAACTTTCATCAGAAAATTTTATTTTATTATACAGGGTGCGGCAGCATAACTTCCTTTTTTAAAATGTGCGCCATTTAGTCGGTTGATGTCGTAGCGGAGCGCTAGTGGTCACGTTCGAGAGGCGGTACTATAAAGTTTTGTCCCGACACAGTTCAGTCGCCATCATGCGTTGAAACAGTGAGGAGCGTGCGTTTGCCGTTGAGGCCTACTTTTCGAGCGGATGTTCTGTGATCGCAACCCAGCGCGCCTTTCGGAATCGCTTTAATTTAGCCCCGTTGGCCTCTGTCCCGGACCGGAAATCAATTGTTACGTGGGTCACTACGTTCAGACAAACTGCAAGTGCGACAAGACGAAGAACTGGAGTCCCTCGGCCCATTAGATCACCTGAGAACATTGAGGCAGTGAGAGCTTCAATGTTGCGATCACCACGGCGTTCTGCGCGCAAACATGCGTCTGCCCTTGGATTTTCCGATCGTTCTGTGAGGAGAATTCTTCATGATGATCTTCGTTTCCATCCATACAAGATGGCAATTGTGCAGGAACTTTCTGAACGTGACTTCAATTCTCGAAGTGGCCGGCCCGCTCTCCCGATTTGAACCCTTGTGATTTTTTTCTATGGGGTTTTTTGAAATCCCGTGTTTATGTGAACCGTCCAAGGACCCTACAAGATTTGAAGACCAATATCCAGGAAGAAATTGCCAACATAACGCCTGCTATGCTGGCAGGAGTCATGACAAACGCCAGAAATCGGTTTACTCAGTGTATGGAGAATGGGGGACGTCACCTACCTGATTTGATCTTCAAAACTGAGTAAAACAAAACTTTATGTATGTGCCTACATTATAAAAAACAAAGTAAAATTTTCTGATTCATACAATGGGTTTTATTAAGTTTTGAAAAAAGGAAGTTATGCTGTCACACCCTGTATAAAGCACATTTAAAAGTGACGGATCTGTAAATACTTGAAACTGTCGTTATTGGGCACAAGAAAATCCTAATTGGTTCCGAGAAATTGATCACCAACATGTTTGGAAAGTTAATGTTTGGTGCGGAATTATTGAAAAACATGTCGTTGGGCCGTTTTTCTTTGAACATGACCTAAACGGTGTTCGCTAAGCCAATTTCCTTGAAAATGATCTTCCGCTCTAGCTTGAAAATACTCCTTTACAATTGCGCCTAAACATGCTTTTTCAGCAAGATGGATGCCCAGCGCATACGTCTAGAGTTGCTCGTGAACGATTGAACGATATGTTTTCAAATAGATGGATAAGCAAGTATGGTCCACATCATTGGCCACCACGATCGCCGAACCTTACTGTTCTTGATTACTATTTGTAGGGAAGAGTAAAAGATATTGTCTGATACCGCGAACGTCCTGCAACAAGAGATGATATGATTCGTAGAATACGCGACGCTATTCGTTCTCTAGACGCTGATGAAATTCTTCGTGCAACAAATAATTTCGAGAAAAGAGTACTTGCTTGTATTGAAGAAAAAACATTACGAACACCAGGCCTAATCACATCTAGCCATACATCCCTGGCTGAATCATTTGCCGATCTTGCCTTGACCGGATGGATCATTTGCCGATCTTGCCTTTACCGGCTGGGTCATTTGCTGATCTTGCCTTTACCGGCTGGGTCATGCCCGGATCTTGAGTGATCTTCTTAGAGCTTTCAAAGTTATAAAGTTGACAAAAGTTGAGGCACTATTGTAACGGCATAGTGTTGAGACCAAGTGAAGTCAAAAAGTCCTGTACCACTTTTGCTTCCGACAAATAGTTATTGAGATATCGTAAGTTAAATATTGAAAAAGTTATAAAGTTTCGTTTGAATATCTAAAAAAATATTAGGAAAATAAAAAAATGTTTCAGACAAAAGTTGTTCAAATTAATCAACACAAAAAGATAGCTTAATAAAACATAGGGGGTTCCATTTTAAGAAACAAAGTTGAACTTCATATGACCTTGGTACATTTACTCAAGGTCAAACCAATGACACCATCTTATGTCCTCCTTCAAATCAAACAACTTTCGTCTGAAACGTTTTATCTGCCGTTCTCGGATTTCTAGATATTTGGCTGATACGGGTGGTCTGGGACACCCTGTATAAGACCGATTTGCTGAAAACCGAGGAGACGTTATGATGATACATTATTTCCGTAGTCAGTCGCTACAAGGTCAATAAATACAAGGTTATGTAAAAATGATTCGCTGCCAACAGTAAAGTTCTCGAACGTTATACAGGGTGTCTGATGCAAAAGTAGCCAACTTGAAAATAGTGGTAGATTGGGTTAAACTAAGGAGAAATGTCATGTGCCGCGGTACAAAAGTAACAATAGTTATCGAGTAATTAATTTACACGTTTGAGCGAATGAGGATGCAGGAGACGGTAGGCCGGACTCGGAAGGCATTTAAAAAAATCGATTGATGAGCGGGGGAGGTGGAGCGACGCGCGAGATACACCGTGGTGGGAAAAAACCTAGGCGTGGCGGGGAGCGCGGCGCGGGCGGCAAGCGCGGCGCGGGCTGCGAGTGCGGCAGCGAGCGCGAGCGACGGGCGACCCGAAACATAAACATAGTATTGTGGGCTTAGATAGATTCAGCAGCCCCGGCAGAAGTGCCACAGAACTTCTTGTATCGGGGGCTGGTTATTTGTGCTAAGGCGTTAATGATGTAACTCACTTTTAGATGTGAAAAGAATATACTTTATTATAGCTGCACGTCGAGTTGGCCGATCTCGATCGTGCGAGCTGAGAGGAACGACTGTTACAATACCTGTCCCGCTCGGACAGCGCCACCAACGACCATGAAATACGTCGTAGTAAAGATGGGCGAGTCGAGTCGCCACACACTCCCCCCCGAGTGCTAACGCTGGAGAGTATAATACAATGCGTGGTATGACACTGTGTCTATCACAAGTAATCGGCGCTACCGAATATCACATAGAATATTGCACTGAATTCGGAACATTGTAACATGTAATGAATGTTATACCGCTGCTTAAAAGCTAACGCATACGCAGGATGTATAAAAACTTATAATTAGTACCGCTGCTTAAAGACTAACGCATACGCAGGACGTACAAAAACTTATAATTAGTACCGCTGCTTAAAGACTAATGCATACGCAGGATGTACATGAAATGAAGAAAATACGCGACCGTGTCCAGGCTGATAATTGCTATATTCACGAATGGAACGACGGGTAATATACTTTTACGCGCAATAGGATGACCATTTGTACGCTTCCGTGTCAGGATTTGACTAGCGAGGGGATGTACGTACCGTATTTTTATCCAGTCTAATTTGTACTTTTTTCTTTGGACCGGAATAGGTTTTTACCGTATCGGACGGAGCGCTTGCCGAAGTGGAAGGCTTGTCCGTAGCGTCGGACGTGGATGAATCGTTAGCGATCGTCAAGGCCGGATTAACGTTTTTGAGGCCCGGGGCTATTGGCTCCGTGGGGGCCCTTTATTGAAAAAGCGGGGGGGGGGGGGACAAACTTTGTACACCTCTCTTTGTACAAAAGGTGTAGAAAACAATTTTCTTTTTTTCATAAAGCTTTTATAAAAATACATGCTATACATGAAGATCTTGCATTAGCGTTTAAAAAGTATTCTTGAATAGTGCTCTCTCGGGTGAGGCCCCCCAATAAATGAGGCCCGGGGCTATAGCCCCCCTTAGCCCCCCCCTTAATCCGGCCCTGGCGATCGTAATGTCGTCCGGAATAAAGTGAGCCGGCTTGAGCCGTTCTACTGATACGGCCGTGGATCTGCCGTTGATTTCTATGTTGTAGACTTTATCCGATGTCCTATCAAGTACCTTAAAGGGGCCCGAATAAGGCCGCTCTAAGGGCTTTTTAACCGCGTCCTTACGGAGGAAGACATGCAAACACTTCGACAATTCCCTGAATTGGAAAACGCGCTTTTTATAATGGTGTGCCACGGGTACCGGCTTCACCTGACGCATGTGCTGTCGAAAGTCGTCTACAAAAATTTGGGGATCCGGTGTAAAATCCTCTTGGAGGAAAAATTCTCCCGGAATCCGTAATACCGTACCGTACAAGAATTCGGCCGGTGAGGCTTTTGTGTCCATACGTAAATGGGTGCGTAACCCGAGTAGTACTGTAGGGAGGACATCCACCCAGTTCGGCGTGTTATGGCACATAATTGCCGCCTTGAAGGTGCGGTGCCAACGCTCGATCATGCCATTAGCGGCAGGGTGATAAGCCGTGGTACGAATGCGTTTGCATCCGATTAATTTGAGAAGGGATGAGAAGAGCTGCGCTTCAAATTGGTGACCTTGATCGGTCGTGAGAATGTTAGGTGCACCGAAACGAGCGACCCAATTGTCGAAAAACGCCTTGGCTACTGTTTTCGCAGTAATATCCAGGATTGGAATCGCTTCTGGCCAGCGGGAAAACCGATCGATGATTGTTAGACAATACATAAAGCCGTTGCTAGGATGCAGGGGACCTACTATGTCCATGTGGACGTGGTCGAAACGCCCGTCAGGAGCCGAAAACTGAGCGGGCTCAAATTTGACGTGACGCGAAACCTTGCATTGCTGGCAATCGGTACAATTACCCGTCCAAGTCGCGACATCGCGATGCAGGTTAGGCCAGATATACGGTTGTCTAATGACGCGGTCTGTTACTTTCGCGTTAGGGTGCGCGGGGTTATGGAGAAGGTCGAAGACCTGTGTTCTAAGAGATGCTGGAATGTAGGGTCTGATCGATTCACCTGACAATTCGCAGTATAGCTCTGTGTTGGAAGAACCCCAAACGAATTTCTTTAATTTTAACGAGGACGAGTTCGAGATCAAGAGATGTTTAAGTTCCTCGTCCTCTTTTTGCCTAGCGGCGAGGTCTACTAATTCAAATTCGACCGGGAGGCGGAGAGCCTCGATACGAGATAAGTTGTCGGCCACCACGTTTTCCGAACCGGCGAGGTGTTCCAACGCGGTGGTGAATTGCGCTATGTACGAGAGCTGACGTGATTGCCTCGGGGAGGCTTTATCTGACCGTTGCTGAAATGCGTAAACCAAAGGTTTATGGTCCGTCACCACTTTAAAATTACGACCTTCGAGGAAGTGTCGAAAGAACTTTATTGATTCATAAATCGCGGTTAGCTCGCGGTCGTACGCGCTATAATTTCTCTGCGCCGGAGTGAACTTCCTCGAGAAGAAAGCTAATGGTCTCCAACCGTCAGAGGTATACTGCTCAAGGGCCCCACCCATAGAAAAGTCCGAAGCATCTGACACGACGCGAGTGTCGGCAGAATTGGACGGGTGTGCTAGTAACGCGGCGTTAGCAAGGTCGGTTTTGGCCTTTTCGAACGCGGTTTCGGCCTCAAGAGTCCACTGTATTTCGCGTTTGTCATTCTTACGCGAATCGGTTATGTATGCGTGCAGGGGGGCTTGTACGCGAGCGGCGTGTCGAAGGCTGCGCCTGTAAAAATTTAGCGCGCCCAAAAAGCGACGAAGTTCCGCTACGGTCTTTGGCTTCGGGATATTCCGAATAGCAGCCACTTTTTCCTGAGAGGGTTTAAGACCGGATTTATTTACGCGATGACCGAGGAAGGTCAATTCATCTACCCCGAAAATGCATTTGGACGGGTTAATGACTAACCCAAATTCCTTGAGTTTCTGGAAAACAATGCTTAGATGTTTCCTATGCTCCTCTAAGGAAGAGGATGCTATAAGAACGTCATCTATATAAGCAAATGCAAAGTCGAGATCCCGTAGGGCGTGGTGAATGCACCGCTGAAAAGTCTGAGCGGCATTCCGCAGGCCGAATGTCATGGAGACAAATTCGAATAACCCGAACGGCGTTATGACAGCCGTCTTCGGTATATCGGCCTTTGCCATTGGAATCTGGTGGTAGGCCTTGAAGAGATCAAGGGAAGTAAAGATCGACTTACCTTTTTTTTTACGTGTGGAAATCCTTTATGGATACCCGGGCCCCCCTCTGGGAAGGGAGTTTACATTAAGTGGCCCGGGTTATGTGGGACTGCCCCCCTAATGGCGATCGGGTGCGGCCGCTGACATTGCGACCGCTGGGCTTACCGCACTAAAACCACACGGTGGACTGCGCTGTGCTTTACTTGGGGGACGCCCAGGACTTGGCAGAGCCATTACTTCTGGATG